AAATATTATAATCACTTAATGTTATTAAAGGTAAAAAAACAAAATTGAAATTTATTAGATAATTATTAATTAAAAAATATGACCACAAATTAAAAAATTAAATGGATAAATTTGTAAATAAAATTAAAAAATTTTAATCCGTTAGCGGTTTGGTACAAAAAGCTACATAAATTGACTTTTTCAATCCGCTAGCGGTTTGGACTCCAACCGCTATCCGTTAGTCTCAAACCATTAAGTAAAAATTTTATCAAACATTTTATTTATAGTGGTTTCGAAATATATAAATTTACCAAACACCTATATTTAGCGATTTAGGTAAAACTGTTAATCACTACTCCAAAATTGCTATACCAAATGGAGCCTTATATTGATAGTGGATTCAACAAGCATAAACCACCTTTGCATTGTAGGATCTAAAATGATCCTTTGAGATAATGAAGCTAATGACTATAAATTAAGCGCATTTTGGAAGGCAACCCAACTGTTAAATTTCGTTCTTTTTTCATTTATCTTTGGATTTTATTTTGTTAGTTTAGATTTTTTAGTGTTACTTTGATTTTTTTATTTTCTATTTACATCTAGGTTAGTGCACAAGTTTGGGAGAAATTCAAGACTGATGAACATTGAAGGCACCTTAACTTCAAATTTTAACGTTATATGTTTAAGCGCGTAGAACTCAAAGAGTTTATTTATTTATTTCTTTTAGCAATGAGAACAATATTTAATTTAATTTGTGGAGAGGGAAATCCATTTTGATAGTTATATTTGCATTGTGACACCTCTTTTTCATATTTGTAGGATATTTACATATATGCTTTGGGGGCTTACATACATGTACAAAGGGCATTTCATGCAAAAATCATTAAAACATGCAATTAATTTCCATTTAATTATAATATAAGCAAACTTTGGAGATCCTTATAATTTAAAATCCAACATATAATTTCTACATGAAGTACTAAATAACGATAAGTTATTAAAATATTACATAGATTTGTCACTATTTAATTAAGCTTTACCCATCAAGCATTAAGAGAAATGAGAGATCCTCCACCACAAAAATAAACTCCAAGGATAAAGAACTAAGTATTTGAGGAGGACAATACCAAAACAAGAAAAAATTGGTGAGTTATAAATTCAATAAGTATAATGCATTATAAAACATTTTACAACCAAGATATACAAATAAGTAAAATATAGGATAACTATACTTATTATTTATGTATACCCACCCATACACCTTATCTCAATCAATTAAATCATAATTCAATGTTTATAACTCAAGTTTACAAGATCACTAAATAAGTAGAACCTAAACTACTTCCACCAAATAAACCATAACCATATATATAATTATAATTATAAAGTAATTAGGCTGATCTAGCCTATTATCCCCATTATCTTATCTCTCTTGGATAGGGTATGTCATTCATTAGAATGCATCATCCTATCGCATAGAGGGCATTTTGAGGTAAAATATCTACAAAAATCCACAAAGAATTCCATTATATTTTAAATGGGTCATCTTCTCAAAATCGAGGCTAAGTTTTTGTGATGTAATATATCACAAATCATACCATAACAATCTTCACATTTCGAATTTAAGTCCAATTTGAATACACTATATCCTTTTTTCGCAAGGTAGTTATCTCAAAGTTAAGGAATATAATCATGGTAAAAATTAAGAGTTCACTTAATATATAAAACAAAATATCTCAACCAATAACAATAACCACATAGCATAACCGTATGCACCAAGTATCTTCATTAAATTACTAACTCAATGTTATACCATAAAATCTTTGTAACTCAAACTTAACCTAAAATTATTAGGACTTATAGGTTATGATATACACTTAGAAAACCTTTTTAAAGACTCATTTTCAGTTTATGAACTTTGCTTTAAACTTTACACAAGCAATAAGAGCATAAAAGGTGAAATAAACTTAAACTATATTTAATTAATTGAATGAATAGTACCTATAAATGGTATCCATAACAGCATTAGTAAATAGTAAAAATATACATATTTACTCAAACTAAATCTAGAATTCACTAAGTCCCAATATTTCAAACGTATTTATTTCCCTTTCATATTGTCATAATCAATTTCAACCCTACAAAGCATATCAACATAAGTATTATAACAATAAATTCACCCTCATCGTCAACATGTTATAAAACTCATTTAAAATTCATTAATTCAATTAACAAGGTTTATAACATTTAAATCAACATTAGCAATGTAATACTCAAGGATTTCTTACTTAAGATTTAAATAAATTATTTAAGCCCTCAAAGGATATACATGTGATAGAAATAAATTTGGGGTTAAAATTATAATGAGGTGAGGAAATTAGGGACTAAACCTTATCGTCAAAGCTTAGGGCCTAGGTGGCAATATTCCCTTTTTGTGAAAACCCCCAAATCAGATTGGGTCGGCAGTCCAGTTGACAGGTTTTTTTTCTTTCTTTCTTTCTGGGAAGCAGATCGCATCTTCTTTCTTTCTCTCGCGGGGCACATAGCTCCATGATCTAACCATATTAAATTAAAACCAAGGTAAATTGTCTTCTTAAGTTTAGAATTTTGATGATTAAGAATAATGAGGGATTGAATTTACTATAATAGTTGATTTTGGAATTGATTTTAAAATTGTGAATTTCAGTGAGATATTTTGAGATTGTTGATATATAGCAAAAGGAGGGGAAAAGTTACAATATTTAAGGTTGCATCACGTGAATTACATATGATGTCTTGTATATGAGACAAGAATTTGTATAGTGAGTTTATTTTAATTGGAGGAAATTGTTATGATGGGTACAAATACTAAACTGAGTGAGAAAGTAGAACACGGATGACATGAGAAATTGGGATTAGTTCTTGTAATATTTAAATAGAACTAGTTAAATTCTATTTAGTGATTGAGTTATATTTATTTGCTGTTTTTTTTTTAGGCTCTGAGTAGTTGTGTGGAATTGCAATTGAAAGACAGTTATTGAGGTAAGTAGCTATACCCTTTAGTGTTTTTAAAGTAAATCAATGGATTTAAATGAGTTTTATCTAGTTTTGATTTATTTATCTATTTATTTATTTATTTCTTGCAGAATGATTTTTACTAAAATATTTTTAATGATGGAATAAGAATTGTGGACCAAGCATAATATTTTTTTTAAAATTTGAGATGAGATTGTGACCATGTGGAAGTGGTTAATTTAAATATGTTTTTTTCCAACTTTATTGAAATGACTATTTTTGGAACGATATCTTTTATTTGTCCTAGCTATATGAGTAACCTTTGTGAGGGTTGAGTTATTGGTATTGTGATAGACTTAGGATCTATGGATTGTAAATTATGGATTGTGGATCGTGGATCATGAATTGTGTATTGTGGACTGATGATTGAGTATCATTGATCGTGGATTGTGAATCGTTATGCAGCCATAAAGGACGGAAAATGAAATATTTTGGTTTCGAGGAAAGAATTATACTTTTATTGTATTATTTTTAATAAAAATCTAGTTTTAATTTTTATGCCTAGTTGTGATGGACGGGTATACTACTTAAGGAGTTCTTATAACTCACGTTTTCAAATTTCATCTCATTTTAGGTGAAGAAGTATGAGCATTGGGTTTTGCAAGGGGATTGAGAGATCGTTAGAATAAATTGGTAGAAATGTAGCAATAGTTCAATTGGAAGTTTAGTTGGTTTTATGGAATAAGATGTTAATCATGTTATGTTTTGGTTAAGAGATTTGATCTTGTTATTTGAGACTATTAAGAGTTGTTAATGAAATTATTTATTTTTAAGTTGCCAGACTACACTAGAACTTTATGGGAGATTGTATTGATATGCTAGTAGATGGCCCTACACATTTATGGAGTTACCGTATAGATATGTAGCGTTTGTTATGTCCAAACTTATGGGTTGGGGCATGACAAGCAATAATTAAGCTTTTAGACAAAACTAAAAATTTTTTAGTTTTAGGTGGAAAAGAGGAAGAAATGGAAGATTGAGAGAAAGGTATAAAGAGAGAGGAGCCGTCCTTTCAATACTCCTTTTCTTCCTTTCTTCTTTCCTTATTTTCAATGCTCACACTAAAAATAATATACAAACCATATGTCAACTTAAAATACACTATCAGTACCCATATTCTACTTCAAATTTAAAATTCCATAAGCTCCAAAATTAGAAATAAATAAACCAAATTAAGATTCACTTATCAATTTATGAAATAAAAATAACAAATAGATATATCAAAACATGGAGCATCATATATGTCAAATCCAATAAGATCCAAGCAAACCTATTTCAAACTCAAAAATTTGGCTCATGAAATAACTTAAAATCTAAATGTCATTAAGTAAAATACTTACAAGAAATGGTTGTAACACATTGAAAACCTTGGAAAAGCATCAATGTTTGTCCTAATTGAAAGTTGGAAGAGAAAAGCTTCAAAGGGAAGCTTCCATGAAGGGTGGTGGGTTGCCTTCTCCAAAAACCTGAATTTTTCTAGTTTAGTTCTTCTAAATCTCTATAATTACAAAGTTGCCATTAATAAAAACCTTGTCTTTGACTAAACTTTAACTCAAACTTAATTAAGTTGAAACAAATCACTTGACAACTATTTTAAGCATAAATGAATATTGTAATATATTTTATGTTATAATGTCATTTTCTACGTCTTGATATATGTGTAATACCCCAAATTTTCGGGAATTTTAGCATTAAATTAAGGACTTGATTGTGAGAAAATATTGTTTTGGGCGTAAGAGCCAAAATATCCAAAGTTGAGGGGCTTAAAAGAGTAGAAATTGGATAAGGATGGCTTATTTCTTTTCTCCTTTTTCCTCTTTTTCTCCAGCCCGATTCTGCTCTTCTTCTTCTTCTCGCTGCAGCCCGAAATTTCCCCCCCTCCAAGCCGCCGGCACCAGCTTTGAAAAATTGGTGAGAAAGCTTGGAATTTCTCCTTCTTTTCTTGTCCAAGAACTTGATTTGGAACCCAGAAATTCTCCCCCCTGCTGGAAAATCCGGATCTGCCTTGCTCTGCTCCTCACCGCCGGATGCTCCTGCTTTGTGGGTGTAAATCCCCTTGAATTTTCGGTAAGAACAGCCCCTAATTCCTTTGTTCTTGCTTGAATTGGCTTGGGTTAACTTTGATTGCTCTTGTTCCTCCAATTTTTGGGTAGATTGCGTGATTCTTCCCTGCAATTGCCGCCGGCCTCTTCCCCCTGCAGCTCCGGTTTTAGCTGGAAAATTATGGTATGTTGACAGCCTTTTAAGGCTTAAATTGTCCATTTAGTTTGCTGCCTTGTGTGTCCGTGAATTGCTAGAAAATTGGGGATAATTCCGGTAGCTTTAGGATGAGATTTAAGCATTAATTCAAGTGGGATTTATGTGATTGAGTGTTAATTGCCTGTTGTGATTTTGGAGAGAAAACCCCGTGATTAGTTAGTGTTTTGGCCAATTTTTGGAAGTGCAGTTACTGTTCACGTCGTGGGCACTGTTCACCGACACTGTTTACCGGTTACTGTTCACACCCCGAGGGCCAACAATTAACGGGGATTTAAGTGATTAGTTTGTGATATAAAAACGAATTTGGAGATATTTGATCATGTGGAGAGTGATAGAAATAGCATTGTGATTAGGAATGATCCTAATGATGATTTTAGCTTGAATTTGTGATAGTCCGGTATTAATTTTGAGATGTTTTGATTAGGTTCCCGATCGTTCTGTCAGTTAGTGCGTGAATTGAGTGCTCGGTTTTATGCGAGTGAGGTAAGTAAATTTATGGTAATGCCTGTACTGTTTTTAAAAGCATGTTTTGATTTGTTTTTGAAGTGGTGGCGGGACTAAACCCGTTTTACACGAGCATGACTGATTTGAAGTGAAATGTTTTATGCTTTTCATTAAATTGAGCATGCCTACTTGAAAGTTTAAATGACTATCTTGATGATTTGAAAGTGATTGTGAATCGTGATTTTTCTGTTAACTTCTGCCTGTTTTGTCTCCGATATGGTCATGTTATTCGTGTGCCCACTAGTGGGAGGTTTATAAACGCTAGCACATGTCGACATGTTACTGATAGAACCGGTTCGTTTCTGTAACCCTACTAGTGGGGGTTAAACACTAGTAATTTCTGTAGCCTGTCAGTGGGAGGTTTATAACACTTGCCGTGACCTATAAAGGAGACGTCTATTTCGTTCCCGTACTGTATCCGTTTTGCGTGATTGCACATGTGGCATGCTATAAGTTTAATAAGGGGCACTTCATACTTTACTTACTGAGTTTATCTCATAGTTTTTCCTTGTCCACCATTTCAGGAAGTGAAACCGAGGACGGGGAACCACGGGAAGTGACGAGTTAGAAAGCTAGCCATTTCGAGATTGATATAAATTTTAGAAGTAAATCATGATCTTGTAAACCAGAGTGTATTTGGAGATTTATGATATCAGAGAGAATTTTATAATTTGATCTTCAGATTTTGATGGTATCAGAGTGTGATATGATAAGTTCCGAGCCTTGTGCACTTGTGGGACCCGTCTCACGAGTGTACGGCGTCTGTTGCGCCTCGAATTTGGGTCTTGGGGCGTGACAATATGAAATGACCAAAATGCCCTTATTATACTTTTTAATAATTAATAAGTTTTTTTATCCAACTTAAGGTAAACTTATTACTATATAACTATCAAAATTTATCTAGAATACCATGATCTCATCTAGACCCACATTTCATCATTTTTCTATCCAAAGAACTCAACTTTGCTTAAATAGATACTTTGGTTCCCAAATTTGCATTCTAAACATTTACGAGCAATTAAAGGCAAATATAAAATTAAGAAAATTATGAGGCGTTACATGCATTAGGTAACGTTCATGTTTATTTGCATACTATATTTTTTTGAAAATAAGTTTTTTTTTTAGGGAATTTGATCATATAGTGTCAAAGAGTTAAATATTCATGACTTAGAAATTCATGAACTTAGTTGATAGGACACATATTCTTGAATCTTGTGGAAGATACAAAATTTGGAAAATAGTGCCATTTCGATTAAGTTTAGGTTCATGAGTGTCCAATTTCACTTAAGCACAAATTTTTAGTGGGAAGTTTAAAAAGAAAACTTAAGAGCACCTAAAAGCACATATACAATTAAAAAAAAAGAGAGAGAACAATAAATAAATAAAAGAATGTTCAATGAATCATGAATTAATTGGGCGGTGGGGCCTAATTCAAGCATTATGTGAGCATCTCTTAAAAAAAAAAAAAAGTCGAATGAGTTGTGACTTTGTTACTTGAGTAAGCATATTCTTTGGGGTGTCTTTTCACCAAATGCCCTAAAGCTAATTGGTTTGGAAGTCATTGGTGGAAAACTTCTTACATGGGTAACTTAGAAATCCAAAGGGAACTTGATTAAAATAGAAAAAAAAGCGGTAAAGTGTGAAAATCTAAACTCAAACTTTTTATTTAGAATTTTCACACACACTCTAGGTGCTCATAAGCTAAATCTTTTGGTAAGTGGTGTGAAGAATATGATGAAGTGTCAACTTTAAAAGGATAGGGTATTTTGAGTTGAGGTTAGGTGAGTGAGTGAAGGAAAACTCTGGAATATTTGACACTTTATGTTTAATTGATCTTTAATTTCTATTTCTCTTTGCATGCATATTATGCAGTTGCATTTTTGCATTGAGATATTTGGGTAGATCCTTTGAAAACCCTTATGAGACACAACTTGTCCATTAGGGTGATCTAGAGGTTTAAAGGTTTGTTGCACATGCTAAGTGCAATTGTGACTACTTTAAAAGTGAGTTAGTTTTTACTTTTTGTTTTCTTGTTTGAGGACTAACAAAACTTAAGTTTGGAGGAATTTGATTAGATGCATTTTATATGCTTTAATATGTCATCTTAGCCTTGTTTTTGTTGCTATATGAATGGATAAGATGTGATTTTTAATAGATTTGACATAATTTCATTTTTTATGTAGAAAGGGACTTGAATATATAATAATAGGAGTTTTTGGGATTAATTGAATATCTTTTGAAAGTCGAGTGACTGAATTGCCTGAAGAAAGGCTCCTTTGAAAGGATGTAAATGAATGAATTTGAAGTCACAGGATCAAAGTGCTAATTGTAGAAAAGTTGGAGGACTAGATCTACTATTTTAGCATTGAAGAAACCTACTTTATGGTGTCAATACTATGTGTTAATCCCTTGAAATGTAGGTTTCACATGAAAATAAACAAGAGTACCAACACCTACAATTTGATGTCGACATTAAATAACCTTTCAGCCTTAAGAGCTGTCTTTTCGTTGCTAGTTCTACTTCTTTTCTAATAGAATTTCTTAAATTCTATAAACACCCATTTAAAACCAGATTTAAATGGTTTTTGGGGAGACCAAGATAGAGACAACCAAGAGGAACTCAACATCAAAAGAAAATCAAAACTTGAAATTTTATATTATTAAATTGGTTTTACTTGTCATTGAATTTTGTTTATAATATTAGATATTCTTATATTTATAACAAGATATTTGATTTTCTTTTTTTTATTATAAATTAATTTAGTCATTTAATGCTATGATATAACCTAATCAATTTGATAAAATTTTTTTATAATTTTTATATTTTTAAGGCTTATTATTTCATGTAAAGTATTTATTATTGTTCTTAATATTTTTTAATGATTGACCAACATTAAAATTGATTTAGAGATTATAATTGAAACTAAGAACATATTTTATGCAATAATTTATAGTAATATATACCATGAATTGAATAAAACTTAAAGATGGACTAATATGATTCATGTAATATTAGTGATAAATGAGCTTGATTTTCAATTTAATTTTGGAAATTTCATAGAATATTATGCATGTTTATCTATTTCAATTCACATAGAAATATAGTGAGTTAATAGGTGAAGATAGGTTTGGTATAACTTGAGAAAAAATATTGAATAGAATATGAAAATTTACTATTACATGAGTAATAAAGATCTTGGAAGAATATTAATCTAAAGTCTATATTAGTTAATTATAGTGAAATAAGATGTGTTAGAATTTCAAATCTTAATAATCTCACTTACATTCAGTTTAGTTTTTTTTTTAATTAGTTTAATTAATTAGTTCATTCAAATCATTTAAATTTAATTGTTTAGATAAAATTTTATAGTAGTTGATTATGGGGAAATTAGATGCCTTGTTAGCTACTTTCTTTTTGCAAAAATTTATGAATTCTTTTGAAAGAAATTCCCCACCATTATTAGTTTTGAGCATCTTCAATTTCTTGCCACTTGCTTTAAACTTGCAAAAAACATAGAAAGCTTGACTTTCTTTGTAGGAAATAAACCCACATCATTCTTGTAAAATCATCTACAAATAGAATAAAATATTTGTTGTCACTCAAAGGTGTACACATGGGACCGTATATATTAGCATGTACTAACTCAAGAGGTGCTTTAGCTCCCCGCATATACTTTGGAAATGAAAGCTTATGCGTCTTGCCAAAAACACATCCTTCACATAAATTCTATTGTTCTACAATAGGAGGTTGACCAAGAACCATGTCTTTGTCTTTTACCAACTTTAAGCCTTTGTAGTTTAGTTGCCCATATCTTTAGTTCCATAAATGTGATTCATCTACAGTATCACCTTTGAAGGCAAATTTTTCACTTAATGGCATAGTGAAAGGAAAGAGATTATTGGAATTCATTTTCTCTTTTGCCACAGTGAGATTTATCTTCTGGTCTATAATTGTGCAATTGTTATCTTCAAAAATTAGCTTGTAATCCTTTTAAAAGAACTAGCCCACATTCAATAAATTTTGAGTTAAATTAAGAATATAAAGTACATCATAGATCAGCTTTGAAATGCCTCATTTTGAGTTTATAGATCTTACTCCTTTTTCTTGAAATTCATGTAATTTGCCATTTGCAAGTTTCACCTTTGAGGAGAAATTTTTGCCATCCCCAAGTTGCACAAAAATTTCTTCATAACCTGACATATGACCATTGTATCCATCGTCAATAAATCAGATATTGGTTGCTTCCCTGTGAACACTCATGCAAGAAGATAGCATGCTTTTTGCTTTAAGGACTTTAGAAAATTTTGCTTTATTTTTATCTTTATGCCAATAATCTCTTTCCGAATGATTTGGATTTCTAAAGCAACAATTCTTCATCTCATGTCCACATTTTTTACAAATACAATATTGAGAATTATTGTTGAAATTTTTTTGATTGGAGTAACTTCTCTTGTTTCTTCCACGTGTTTGGAAATTGAAACTTTTTCTTCTTTTTTTCCTACTATAAAGGAATTTTGTGATGACGATGATTGACTCCTTTATTGTATCTTTGAATTGCTTTTTTTTTTTTTGCAAAATTCACCTTGGATTGAAAAGCTTGCTTCAAAGCTTAAGATGAATATCTATTCATCCTTTTCTCATGAGCTATCAATGAGTCACTTAATTCATCCAAAGTTAACTTTGCCAAGTGTTTGGATTCTTCAATTGTTGCAACTACATGCTCAAAAATTTCAAGCATGTTTCTCAATATTTTTTGCACAATTTTTTCATCATTAGTATTATCTCCATGACTCTAGATTAGGTTGATAACTTTAGAAACTTTGGGGAAAAGTTGCTAAATAGTCTCATCCTCCTTCATGACAAGATTGTCAAATTCTCTTCATAACCAGATTGTCAAATTCTCTTCATAAATTCTATAGTTTCATGGAGATTACTTTGTCTTGTCCTCCAAATTGCTTCTTTAGGATTTTCTATGCCTTCTTGGATGAAGATGCATCCATTATTATGGGGAATATTGTTTTACTCGTTCCTTATTGAATAAACAAAGCTTTTGCATCTTGTTGCTTATTTTGTTTATACTCCTTCTTTGCTGCAATCCATGTTGCTAGTTCCTCTGCGCTTGGAACTTCAAATCCTTCTTCCATTATTTCCCACAAATCTTGTGAGATAAACAGGGTCTTCATTTGGATACTTCAAAAATCATAACTTTCACCCGTGAAGGTAAGTATAAGTGTTTTATTATAATTGAAAGATGAAATTTGGCTACTATTGGCCATTAATATGGATAATTGCAGAAGTTCAAATGTTTAATTAGCAAGGCTTTGATACCAAAAGATGTTGGGTACAAGTGAAGAAATAGGGGATAAGAGCTGATAAAGATAGATAAGTGGAGTGATTTAGGTGGAAGTCTATTACATTGAATTGAATTACCTTTTTTTTTAAAAAAAAAAATTTTTTTATCAGCAAAATGTGTTTTATATTGTTTTTAGAGTACAAGGAGTACTCTATCCGTTACAAACATTAAAATTTTTTACATCATTAAAATATTGATGTCTCCAATTCAAACAATTTCAATCTCCACTACTGTAAGTAACTACTTAGCTTCTATGATTCTGATATAGTGATGTTCTTCCTATGATTCTGATATAATGATGTTCCTCCCATTATAACAGAACTTGCTAGGGGAAATGCACCATATATCATATTTTATCTCAAGTTGTATCTTTCCTTTATCCATTCAAAAGACTTGAACTTAATCAATGAATCATAGTATTCTTTGTGTCCTTTCCTTCTTTCAATATCTTTTGATTTTTCCATATCCACATTAACCACACAATCACAAGCCAAACTATA